TCCTTCAATTTTGCTAGCAAAGATTCATTATTCGTAAACACACCCCGAACTTTCGCATACGATTTATCAAATGTTTCATTTGCCAAATGATAACGACAAAATATATAGATACGTTCCAGTTGTGAATGTTCATGAATACGAGGGATAACAATTTCTGATAATACACCAGATGAGATAAAAAAAACTTTTTCTTCTTTGATTGAAAGCACATATTCCACACATTTATCGACATTGTCAAATAACTTCAAATAATTGATAATACAGCGTAAGCGACATTGAATTTCACTGTCTTGATTTTTTTCATCGAGCCAAATAAGTGAGAAGTCTTCGTGGTTTTGATCGTTGTTGTCGTTTCTTTTCTTGGACATTCTTTTGGATATGCACTTTGATTTCTTTCTAGCAACATATCTCGGTCGCGATTGAGAAGTACTCAACATGCTTGTTTTTTGCAAAAAACGAAATTGTGTAGTGATTTTTTATGAGACAACGCATGAAACACTGATTGTTGACCGAACAAACAGACACGTGCGTTTCGTTCGCATAGATAAAGTGTTAAAACAGTTGCAAATAAAGGAAGAAACAGAACAATCAGCTTGCTTCTGACTCTGAAGTGAGTAAATAATCCGTGGGAAATATGAGCGATATCTGTACAGTAGAATAAATAAATTTGGAAAGCACATGTTGCAATAAGGCCATTTTTTGCCCACGACTTTTTGCTTTTATCTATCTGGAGCGTGTCAGGATACCACTAGAAGTATTCCCTACGACTTAGTTTTGGAAAAGGGTGGGTGTGGGTGTGGGTGTGGGTGTGGGTGTGAGTGTGGGTGTGAGTGTGGGTGTGGGTGTGGGTGTGGGTGTGGGTGTGGGATGGGTGTGGGTGTGTGGGTGGGTGTGGGTATCATTCCTCTCTGTACTCACATCCACACCCACTCACATCCACATCCACACCCAGACCCACACTCACACCGACCACACCCACACCCACACCCACACCCACACCCACACCCACACCCATCCACACCCAACCCATACCTACACCCACACCCACACCCACACCCACACCCACACCCACACACCCACCCCACACCCACACTCATCCACACCCAACCCACACCCTTTTTGTTCTTTTGATTTTTTTAATTCGAGAAAATTTATTCATTCCAATTGACCTATAACAATATTGTCATATAATACATTCTCATTTGGTGTATTATTATTTTGTTTCTTTATATATGAAGATTTATCCTGACGTTTTCATTTAATAGTCGTGTTTAATGATAAATAAAATAATGGATTATTATCATATGTTCATGGTGAAAGTAATAATAATGAAGAATCTGACGTTGTTGTTAATATTTGATTATTAATTCAATAAACTGTAAACATGAATTTATCAGCGTTACCCATAAAACATAAGCATTCCCAAAACCACTAAAAACAATATTATATAAATAGATTATCTTAGTCTTTTGTTTTTTTTCCTTGTTTAAGGTTCATTCATTTCTGTTGTTATAAATCCACCTAACAAAGATTTTTTTTACTTATGTGACACGTTATTGACTGGAAAATTTTTTGATATAAAATTTTGTCCATACTTAGATCTGTTCATCCTAAGAATATTGTAAAAGTTTAAATACTTCAAAATTTCCAATTTTTTCGACAGCTTATAAAATCGAATCAACTTTTGAATATCAACTATCTTAACAAAAAAAGCAATTATTTCAGCTGATATATGTTCTATTTAATTTTTCAGCTAATATTCAATTGGTTGAAACTTCATAAAAACGATCGTAACTCGGCTCCGGAATTGCCCGGCAGTTCGTGTGACATAATATTTTGTATTTTATATAACAAATAAAAACAATAAACAGATGACCATATGCAAATGTTGTAATTGATTATCATTAATAAACGCACACAAATAAAAATAAAATAAGATTATATAATGGTTTAGCACGATATATTTAAATTTCGTTTTTTTCCATATGAAATGATGTCTAAAAAATTTCTAAACAAATTGTTATATATGCTACTGTTAATAAGAAAATAGAAAACTCTTTACAGGATATTTTTCATTGATATTTACATGTGAAGTAACATATGTTATTTGATCATGTTAATGTTTTCGAGCAGATTCATCAAGATAATGAATAAAAGTCACTGAATTCTGTCTATACCAAAAGAAAAAAATTATTCCAGAAAAACCATAGTTTGCTGAATTAATATGTATATCTCTTCAAATCCTAACAAAACGTATGACAACTGAAGATAAATAAACAAAAAAGAATAGATAGTTTTTCAACAACTTTTTTCCTGCGCAAGATAATACAAGCTCAAAAGTAATTATTTGAAGATCTTCATTTTCTTTTAAATATTAAAATACACAATCATTAAATAAATTTACAATCGAACCATGTCATTGATGTTGTGATAAATAGTAATTTTTGTTACAGTTAACGTACAAATTGCTTGTTGTTCATCATTAATACATTCATATACATACTAATCTTCAAATGATAGTAGGAATGGTTGATATAAACAAGCAGAACCGATGAAATAGTATATGTAATTTCTTGAAATAAAAAAAAATAAATTTCATTTAATTCAAAAGAAATATATTAAAAGAAAAACAATACAATGAATGACAACATACCTTTTACATGTGAGTGTGTGTTCATCAACTCTGTGCACATACTGAATGTGTGAGAGTGGAAGAGAAAAGAAAAAAGAAATAGGTCAAGAGAGGAATTTTCCTTTTTCTTTCTCTCGTCCATAAGTTATTGTTCATATTATCATTGATGATCAATGATAACATGGCATAATTAATATGTATGTCAATTAAGCTTTATCCATACACATACATTGAGATATTTGTGATTGAATATATCTCAATGTATCTGTGTATCCAGATGAAAGCTTAATTGAAATCGACGTCTAATTATTTTCCGACGAGAAAGAAAACAATGAATATTTTCTCGCCCAAGAAAAAAAAACGTTTTTTTGGGGGTATACAAATGAACGATTTCCAAGTAAGAAATCATTCAATTATTTGAATCAAATAATAACGATTTTGTTTTATATTTTAGGTTGGCTTCGATGATACAAAATTAAACAAATCAATGCCAAGCAATACAATAAGAAGATGTAGGTATCAGTTTTAGTTTTTTTTTCTTTTTCTTTTTTATTTTACGATCATGAGGATCGTGGGTAAGGCCTCCTTTGATCTTTTTCATTTATTTTTCTTTTATCCTTTTAGGTCAATATGAACATATCAAACTTAGTAAGTGATTTCTTTATCTTAAATTTCTTTTTTTTTCGTTTTAGATTCGTTCAAACGAATTCAAGTAAGTCAATTTTTTTCATTACTATTTTCATTTTTTTCTATTTTAGATCATGAATTGCTCCAAGTAAGTATATTTTTCTACTAGGTGGGAAATAATATTTTGATAGGGGGTACCGCTATAATTTCATATAGAGTAAAGAATGAACTTTATACCAAATGAAAGCCCGTCAAAAATGGGGTCTATCGATACCAAATAGTAAGGGTTATGAAAACTTTTTAATATCGAACTTAAGAAACTTTCAGAAATTTTATACTTTTTTTGCGGTGGAAAAGTAAGATGCCAGTAATTCAAAACTAGAGTAAAATGTTTTTCTTGGATATTTTTACATGATTCGATAGAGCTCATCGAGCTCTACAAAACTGTATGTATGAAAAATTTTTAACCAGAGCTGTTGGGTTAAAATTTACTCAAAAACTGCTTAAAGAATGTACCAAAAAACCTGCAGTTTTTACATTTTTTATAGGGGAAAAAAGTGGTCTTTTTTACGCTAAATTCAGCTGTTTTCCATTAGTATCCTTATGTAAGATGTTTGAAAATATACTCATTCGATGCAGTTTTTCACGCTGCATCGAATGAGTATATTTTGAAATGCCGGAGGGAGTAAAAATAATCAAAAAAAGCTAATTTTATTGAAAATTCGAGTATTTTTCTTCCATATCAAAAATATGACTTTTTTAAACGTTTTTTAAGATTTTCCAAATAGTTTTTTCAACTTTTTATCACAAAAAAGTGACTCAGAAAATTTTTCATATATACAGTTTTGTAGAGCTCGATGAGCTCTATCGAACCATGTAAAAATATCCAAGAAAAACATTTTACTCTAGTTTTGAATTACTGGCATCTTACTTTTCCACCGCAAAAAAAGTATAAAATTTCTGAAAGTTTCTTAAGTTCGATATTAAAAAGTTTTCATAACCCTTACTATTTGGTATCAATAAACCCCATTTTTGACGGGCTTTCATTTGGTATAAAATTCATTCTTTACTCTATATGAAATTATAGCGGTACTCCCCCATCAAAATATTATTTCCCACCTAGTATATATATTTGTGTTTTTTTTTAATTTTAGGTATGCAATAGTGAAGAAGAGATAGCAGTGGGGTAAGTTCTTCTCTCTCTTTTATATAGATATTATTTATTCAATTCTTTTTCTTTTCTTTTAGTTAACAATATCATCACATCGCGTCATCGTCCAACATCAGAGCACGTGAGTAATTATTTAACTTTTTTTTTTCTTGACATTGGAATAGGGCACGAGGGAAAATTGAGAATAGATAGTGACGGTGAGAATAAGTAGAGTTAGAGTGACTCTCAGCACAGTGAGTGTTAGTGGGGGAGGGGTGAGTTTTGTTCGTTGAGGTTAGGTCTCTCCTATTTGCAGGACTTCCGAGCAGTCCCTAAAAGCCCGGCCAGGAACTGTCTTGGTGCCCGTGGCATACGACCGGGTCCCCCAGACTCATTGACATATCTCTCGAATGGGAGGGATATGAATGATTTGAGTCTGTCCCGTGCGTGCATGAGCGTTACACTCGCCACGGCTCCACCAGGATGGTTCCTGGTCGCGCGCGCGCGAATAGAATAGACATTCATTTCATTAATTCAATGTGATTTATTTGAAAGAAAAGGAGTGCAAACAAATAATCCATCGTTTTGAGTCTATTCGATTAAAAAACGTTGAATACGATGATTCAACCAATCGATGACATAGAGATTGCCATGTCGATCAAAGAACAAACCCTCGGGGTTATTGAACTGATTTGTTCCTGCTCCTTTACCATTTCCACCCACAATGACAGCGCCCTGTTTCGCTCCTTTAGGCCAACGCATCACTCGATGATTCAACGAGACTGCCACATAGATGGTACCCAATGTATCGACGAACAGTCCTTGAGGACGATTCAATTGTGTCAGAGCATTCCCTTGGCCTTGACCTCCAGCGACGACAATTCCTTCTTTTGCACCTTTATTCCATTTCATTACACGATGATTCTTGTTGTCTGACACGAAGACTGTCTGTTGTTGATCGACAAAGATGTAGGTCGGAGTGTTGAGTTGCTTGAGACCAGTACCTTTGCGATTGCCACCAGCCACAATAGTTCCATTATTGTCTCCTATTTGATATCGTCTTACTTCATGTTTTCCGATGTCAGAGATGTAGAGATATCTCTGGTCGTCCATGGTCAATCCCCAACACTTGATGTTGTCGATGAGGATTTCTCCTTGAGTTGTGCCACTATGACGAGACCATCGTACGATTCGTCGATTATCTCGATCACAAATAATGAGACTATCCGTCTCTTTGTCGATCAACACATCAGTTGGCCATTTCAATTGATCCAATTGATTTCCTTTGCCATTGCCACCAGCTACTACTTGTCCATTCGTATCACCCATCTTCCATTGGATGATACGATCATTACAGGAGTCAGCGATGATTATCGTTTGATTATCATCAACGAAGAGACCATGAGGCTTCCAGAGTCGATTGGTGGCACTGCCCCATCCATAACCTCCGGCAACAGTCACACCATTCTGTTTCCATCGGGCATCGACTGAAATATTGGGAATTACTACAATGAACAAAAAAGAAAACGAATTGTTGTTGTTGCAGGGATCTCGTCTCTCGTAGAAGCAGGCGCTAGAAATACGATATTCGTCTTTGAGAATGCTCATTCCATAGATAAAAATTCAGAAGTCTTTTCCTACTTTCTTATGAGAAAAAAGGATTTGGTAACGATTCTTACATCTATGTCACTTTTAGTTCTTGACAAGATCTTTTTGATCGTAAAAACAACACTTGAAGATTGCTGTAAGGAGCTCCTCAAAGAAAGAGTGATGCTAATTCCATCTAAGCTTTTGATAGAAAAACATAGTAGAATCTTTTTGTAGGATGATCATTTATATGAATATCAGAGAAGAATTTAAGTAATGAAATAATAAACTATGTGAAACTGCTAAACTGAGAAAATTCTGAGAAGATTCTACCTATATCTTGTTAGGAGCATGTTGAACAACAAATATCAAACGTAATTTTGTATGGTTTTGGAGAACCTTAAGGATTCAGTATGTATCTTTGAGGATGTTTTTCACATTATTTTCTGAATGATGAATGCAGATCTGCCGAAGTGTCTCTTAAGCATTTGTATAGAATATGTCGGTGAGATTTCACTAAATTTTTGTCAACTTGTATCAACTCAGGTCAAAAAATCAGATATAAGATGTTGTGGATCAGACGAAACCATATGAAAAAATGTACGAAAAATCGTAGTCTTAGAGATCTTACTACCTTGTAAGATAGTACTATAAGATTATAGGAAATCTCATGCGGTGGTAAGATCTTTCAAGAATCTTATCTCAGGTTAAAACAATGGATGTCAGATCGTATCAAATCTTAGAAGATCCTGTATGATCTGTCGTGTTGTTTTATTCGAGAATTGTTGATTCAATAGTTTCTGTTATAAAGAAATGTACAAAATACACGAAATTGTCCTGCGTAAGTCAATTTTTTCTATTAATGGAATCGTAAAATCATATTTGACTTCACAAATAAATGCTTTATATAATAGATTAGTCAAAGTACAGATATATCTTGGAAATTTTCACATAATAGAGAACGTTTTTCTAAGACTATTAGGAGATGAGAAATAAAATTTTTTTCTATGTATCCTCTACTATAGATTGTCTATATATCCCCCTGGAAAAAAAATAGTTAGACTCGGTATTTTCGATATATTGTTACTATAAATTGACATTTTGAGAAAAGTAATTATATATTCGGATAGCCTGTGGAATTCTCGACAACTCTCTATGTATAAGTTTTGAATTGCATTTGTTTCCTGGAAATAAATTCAAGAATACTAAAGGTACCCTTATTGCTAGATTCTCCAAAAATTTACATCTCATTGATTTTTTCAAATTTAGTTCTGTTAGCTTTTCGTATGTTATCCTAAATCTCCTGCACACGTTCTATTCGTAAGCGGGAAGATAACTACAGAAAAGTGTCTGGTCTGTATATAGTTCTGAGATATCACACGTAAAAGGAAAACTGCCTACCTGAATAATATATCCAGCAATAAGGAAAATGATAGTTGAGATGTAGGTAGTTTAGAGTTTATTGATGATAAGGAAAAAGACAAGATCATAGAAATAGGAGTAATAATAAAAGAGAGGAAAAATAAGGTTTATAATAGGTGAGGGGACGAGAGAGAAAAGAGATGTTGTTCAGAAGGATGTATGATAACAACAAGATAATCGACTGACTTTGTAATGATAACTAATGAATGCATATATATAGGAGAGAGAGAGAAAAAAAATAAACGACAGGAAGACAAATTATATATGGAAGGAAGGACAAAACAAAATGACCAAAGGACAGTAACTAAATTAGTTAGCGGCAACATAGTGTCATCTGTTGACGCTAACAAGTTCCAGGAAACAAATGCAATTCAAAACTTATACATAGAGATTTGTAGAGAATTCCACAGGCTATCCGAATATATAATTACTTTTCTCAAAATGTCAATTTATAGTAACAACATATCGAAAATACCGAGTCTAACTATTTTTTTCCAGGGGGATATATATAACATGTAAATTATCATCCAAAATCGATTATACTTAATCGATATTCACTATCGTTCAATATCAAAGTAAAATAAATAACATAGCCGATATCAGTAGAAAAACTACAATAGAACATACACTAATGCCTTTAGTTCATCAGGGATGCATTTTTCATGAATACTTTTCTTTAAGCTGTAATATCTCTGATTTGACATATTTTTTATATTGATGTCAAATATACTATTCAATTTGGTCTAAAATATAGCTAGGATGAGAATAGAATCGGCGAAATACACCAATTCATTTTTCAAAGTTTCCTATGATTTTATGATTGAAATTTAAAACAATCTATTTTCGTAATACTAAGGCAAAGTCGAAAACAAGAGACATAGAGACATTTCAAGTTCAATGTTCAATGATTCTAATGAGAGACGACACGTAGTTCCAACTCTTCTCATTAAAAGGAAACATACATTATATAAAAATATCTATTGACATATGATTGTTTTTATAAAAGCCAAAATGCAGCTCTTATTTTGAGTAGATATCTATACCTATTCGCTAGTTGAACGATCTTTCTTTAAAATTTGTGATAGAATTGCTTTGTCTGTCACATGATCTATATAAATAGTATAGAATGTATAATGTGTAGTCAGAATATAGGATTTCATATAAGACAAACAAGTCAAAAAAATTTATTTAACATCATTGAAATCAGAAATGAAATGAATGGAATAGATCTTTTTCTATCATGTTCAAACATTTCAATTCATTTTCATTCCAATTATCAACAGACAAGTTCAATAAAATGATGTTTATGAGATAAAATATTATATTTGACTACATTTGTGATAATGATCAAATTTCATACGATTTCATGTACGCTTAGTCTGGGTTTGTTGAACAAACAACTGAGGCTACACTAGTGTCTAATAGAGAGTGAACGAAAATTAATCACCTCATCAGCGTAAAAAATAAAAAAAATGACATGACAATGAAGAAATAAACAAATTGTATTTTTGATTTAGAAGTTCTGAACGTAATGAAATTTTGTTAATTATCGGATTCCATGTTCAATCATATCATAATTTTCTAGTAAACTTTGTCAAAAAGATGAAGTCCTGGCATTCTAATTTTCAAACGAAATTTTCACATGATTTGCTTAAACTATTAGGATAGACATGGAAAGGAATGAAAACTTTCTTCTGATACTGAATATCGGTTTTCTATTGATGAATTTTCAGATTTCGTAAAAGAAATTGAGTAATTTTCCGCATATCAACCACGATAAAGTAAGCAGATATTTTTGAAAACAAACTCATAAGCGAATATATCTGTTCAAGATTTTTGATTTAAGTTAAATGAAACTGAATTCACAGATCTTTGAAAACTTTTTTGATTCTATTCATCTCAACTCATGAGTTAGGAAGTTTTTCTTTCAATTTGACTCAATTCAATTCGAATCATGTATTGAATTGCCTAGTTATGAATCGAACGTATAGTAACATGTAAATATATACGATAAAAAAAATCATTCTACTTTTAAGAAACTCATCTAACTATTGCGCATTCTGTGAAAGTAACATATATGAAGATTATTTATTAGATTTCGAACAATTGTGAGCCTTTTTTCGTATTTTTCGAATATCTGAAGTATCATCTTGGGGTGAGTGGGTGTGGGTGTGGGTGTGTGTGAATGAGGAGTAATCCCACGCACACATCCTTTAAAGGTAATCCTATCTTCTCTCCAGCTGAAAACACTACTTTTATGATCTGGGGTTTTCCATCGTTAGTGCATCCGTGAACTGTCTTCTACCTAATGCCTAGCAGAAAAGAATTTACGGCTAGTCGACGATGCGGATATCGGTACAAAAGAGGAATACAGCCACGTGGACATCCACACCCATGCCTAGTTGTGCATATCTTTCTTTTTACATATGCAATTGAAATTTCCTTAAAAATAAGAATCACAACTATCAGAATTTTCTAGACAACTCCACAGACGCACAAGCAAGTTGCTTTCCAAATATACAATCTGTTACTTAGTTTATTTTTAGATCCCATCGAATAAAGCTAAGATTTTTTTCCAAAACTGGATAGCTAACGGAGAACGTAACTGCTTTAATTAAAAATTGTGTGACGTTTCAATGCCATGACAGGTATGCGAGGAGAGGATAAGTGGGTATGTGTTGGTGCGCTAGAATAGAAGATTAACACCCACACGCTACAGAAAATATTGCTTTTTATATTGATATGTCGCTGAATAGTAATTGATCATCATTTATAAAATCTACAACTAGCTCTAATTGTCTCACCTTTATTGATCCTAT